AGTGTAAAAAGTGTAAAACTCCTTTATTTGGAAGATTTTGGACACCCTGAAGCTTTTTCAATAATTTCACGTGTGTTTATTAGTGCTGTGTGTGGTTATTTAAAAAATGGATCGAAAGAGTTTTTAAGATTACCGCTAGTGAACAAATCGGTGCTATTTCGGAGGCGGAATTTGGTGAGATCTCTTTTTTTTTTTTTGGTTTGTTTTTTTCCGTCGATCTTGTTTTCCGTGCTGAGCACCAATGCTACCGACGTGCCAGGAAGGCAGCTCCCACACCTGGACCCTACCTATCGACCCATCAACTCATGAACCGGGGACCAACGGCTTTACTTCCCATCCGAAGGAAGGCGTGATCAGAGATGTTATGCCTCAGAACATCCCGGCGGCGCCGACTGGGATTGAACCCAGGCCTGCTGGGGTGAGAGGTAATCACGCTTACCACTACACCACCGGCGCCGTTTTTTGGTGAGATCTATCTAATAGTAAATTAAGGAGTGCAGTTTCGAACGCCTTTGGATACGGTTGTGTTTTAAGTTTGTTCTCTGTTTGTGCGTGCGTTCGCGTTCATAGTTTTAGGCTGCATTTGCCGGATTAGCGCTGGCGCTCTGCCTCCCGGACGTTTATACGTGTGTGATTGGTAGTTTTCTCGCTTTCCGGGAAGTTTTAGAATAGAGAAAGAAAACGTGATTCAACATGTTTGCAAGCATCAGAAGAGATGTCGCAATCTGCGTTATTTGATTTTCTCCCGGGCCAGAAATTAGTGGCATCGCGAGTGATAATTTTTAATTTCAGTTTATTTACGTGCTGCAAGGTGCGTGAAAGAGTTCGGCACAATCGGTGTTGACTCGGGTGTTGATGTTGGCTCGCTTGCAACTTTTTTTTTGTGTTTTCGAAAGAAATTGATCGAAAGTGTACCAAAAGTGCTTCTGAACGTGTTTCGCAGTTGGGAGTGGTGAAATTCGTAAATTCGCGGTTTATGTTCAGTGAAAATTCCGTATCACAAAATTGCTCACCGAGTTCCCTTTTTTTGCCGTTCGACGACGACGAGCATGCGAGAGAAAAATAAGCATCGGGAATGTGCTCCCGGATGTATTGATTTGGGTGAGTACGTTCCAGTTGAAGATTATTCTTATACATATCTCGATTGCATTTTCGAGGGGACGTCCGGAGAGCTTTGAGATTTAGGCGTTGTTGCTTTTGCGGGCAGACGAATAGGTCGCCGGTAAGGGCCAGTAAGTGCTGCCAGCAGATGAATCAAGAGGTATTCGAAACAAAATTGGTAAGAAATGTCCATTCAAATCGATTTAATACAGTTGAACAAATTTCAAAACTATATACGTGCCAGATTTGGAAATAATATTTTTTGAATCTGGAAGTGTGTTTATGATATTATTATCCATTTGATAAAGGTAGAGTGAACATGTGGGGCTTATTGTAAGTAAAAGTGACCTCGGAGTGGTTGTGAATTACCAGGCATTCTGAAATGGGTCACTGGAGCTGCAATAGAGCTAACACCTTCTAACTCCCGGACTAAACCTGCTTTAATTAAAGGGTAATAAAAAGCAGTTTTCTTCCATAATAACACTGCCGGACAGTGGGGGTTAGATTGTACACACACACACATCTGTGAAATTTTACCGAAATTTCAACGTTTAGGTGATTTTTCACAGATTTTCTGTGTCACAGATATTCGTTGAAAAATTACAGGAAAACCGTGAAAAATCACCGAACTGCTTACCGAACGTTCAGCTGTTGAAATTTCGGTAAAATTTTACAGATTTCGGTAAAATAATCTAAGTGTGCATAGTTTAGATTACGGAGTCGCTAAAATTTTAATGGGTAATAATAACCCAGTAGTGTTTGTTTTAACTGAAAAATCCATAAATCTCAGAATCTCTGCACTCTAGATAGAGGTGGAATTAGGGCGTAACAGCTTTTGTAAATAATGACTTCTATCGATGATTTCTAGGAACTCAACGCACGCCCACGCATATCAACATAACCATCGGATAGGGGAAGTCTTTCCTACCTGATGAGGGTGTTGGTTAGCGTGGGCGAGCCTTGAATTTCTAGAAATCATCAACAGAAGTCAATGTTTACAAAAGCTGTTAGACCCTAATTCCAGCTCTATCTAGAACTGTCAAAAATACCGTTACTGTCTTTTTCAGTAATTTGTTTGTTTACAAATTTTTTTGCTGACTTTTTAAGTATTTTATTTTTTTTATGAATAAGTCAGAAAATTTATCAAAAAAGTTAAATTAATTATTTATTCGATTAAAACATTTCGAATTCATAACAATTTTTATTTAGGGACTAAGTTTTACATATTTAGTGGCGAATTAGCAATGATGCTGTCTTAAGTAATCCAAGTTGAGCAATCAGCACTTCCTGGTGGTTCTATCGAAAGTCAAGTGGAGGAGGATGACACAAATAAATTTGCAATTTTGGAATTAAGTTTGACGACTGCTCCAGTAAAACATAACGAATATGAAAACTCAGTACTCTATTTTACTGAGTTTTAGTCATTATACGCAAAGCTGTTATTTTACGGTAGGTTCAGTACTTTCTATAACCATAGTCAGAAGCTTGCCACAAAAGCTACCTGTCATCAGTAGTTTTATTAAAAATAGCTAAATGTTCGATTTTTTTTTTTAAACTTTAAAAAAAATACCGACCAGCGAAACCGTGATTAAGTGTGCACGATTTTCTGGAGAAAAGTTAATCATGTATTTGTATAAGCCCATTAAAATCTTTATACACAGTGAACTCTCTACAATGTACCAGAAATTTAAAAATATTAAAAATGTCTAAATACGATATTTCGCATTTAAGTGTGTTAGTTTAGAATCACCAAAGCTTCTTACGTTCCAGACTTTTGGAAATTTCACAATGTCCGGAATATTGGCCTGAGAACTCACATTTTGTAAGTCCTGAAAATCGAAGAAGGAAAAAACACTCCTTATCTTGATTTTTTTTTTCCTAAACCAGAATCAAGAGGAATTTTCTAAGTATGATATATTTAATAAAACTAACTTCAAAGTCTCAAAATTGTGTTATCCTTCTGGGATCGATAAACTTTTTGAGTTTGAATCAACTCGAAACTTTATACGAACAGGTTTTTTTTAGAATTGTCTCAAGAATTCCATTAGAAACAACTAAACATTTCCTCAGAGTTCACCTTAGGTATTCCCTTACAATTTTCTCTAGAAATTCTCTATAAAACGCTCTTTGATTCACTCTACAATTCCCATACAATTATTAAAAATTCGCGCTAGATTACCTAGGAATTACCCAAAGAATTCTCCTGAAAATTTCGCTCCTCAGTGTTCCTTAGGAACTATTCTTTGAGTTCTCTATAGAACAACCTTGAAATTACCATAGTTTCCTTTGAAATTTCTTCGAAACTTTCCTCAAAACTGCTTTGAAATACTCCTAAGCGTACTTTTGGAACTATCATTAGATTTTTCATTGAATTCCTTTTGGATTCTCCTTCTTCACTAAGAATTCTACTTACAAGTACCTCAGAGTTCTTCTTAGAATTCACTTTCAGTTCTCAGTTTTAGTCAGAACTCTTTTTGAATTCTCTTTAGAATTGCCTTGAAATGCTCCACAAATTTCTCTTGTAAATTTAACTTTGAATCCTACTGAGAACTACCTTGGCATCTTCCTTAAGTTTCACCTGAAGTCTAAAGTTCCTCAGAATTAATTTGAAAAGAATCCTCAGAATTTAATTCCTAAAAATTAATCCATTGATATTTTCCTCTGAACTCTCTTGAATTTATGCTAAGGGATCCTTGGTAATTATCATTATTATGTATTATGTATTAATTATGTCAGCTGTCTTGAATATTTAATTTAGTTCCAGATTATTAAAAAATTCTCCAAATTTGATTTCATAAAAAAAAATGTAAAAATCATCCATGTTTAAAAAGCACAGTTCATGTCTAAGAATTTATGTTGCTAGGTACTGAAGATAAATCCACAATATGTTCAACAAGTAAAAGTAACTAACGTGGAAGATAAAGTTGGTTGTATTATAAAATATTTTAAAATTCATGGGAAGGTTTTTTGGCGGATTTCTATATATTCTATTCATAAAAAAGGAGTTTGAAAATTCCCTGAGAATTCCAGGTTCTTCCTGGTAAAATAAAATTCCCTTCAGATACCAGGTTATCCATGCGTTTTTTAAGGTAGTAGACACTGTGGTTTATGTTAAATTATCGTGACTAACTTGATCAATTTAAATATATTGTTGTGAATGGAATTATTTCTAGGCAATGTTATTCTTATAAATTAATGGTACTCATTATGTCCCATTCAATATCAAATTTTTTGATCTTCTAAAAAATATAAGTTATTTAAATCAAATCTGAATATGGCACCGCCAAACAGTATTGAACAAGGGTAACATAATGCTATTGTATAGGTAACCAATACTCGAATAAGAAGAAGAAGAAGAAAAGGTAATTAAATCTTATTTTTTAACATTAAAATATTATATTATTTGCTAGTTGTGCCGACACTATGCAAAATCACCAACTATGTTAACGTATTGTTTCCAGATCTTTTGCCGTACGCAGCATGAGAACTTACTAGGGAAATGGTTTATACACACATTTCTACCAGATTAGCTGTCAAAATTTACAGACGATGCTCGTCTTGCCCTCTTATCCCTACCTATTCCCGAGGGAATATTCCGGGAAAAGGAATATTTTCTTCACTATTAAAAAATTAAAGTGAGGAATATTCCTTTATCTATAGAATATTCTTGCATTTATTGCATATATTTGAAATAATTAATGATTTTCCGTCTCCCTTTGGTAGAAAACTTCCATCTCCAAAATTTATTTCACTTGCTGTTCTTCCCACTTCTATTAATTCCGGGGGTAACGTCATAGAGTCGCCGCAGAGCTGTTGATGCCAATTTAACTTGACTTATTTCAGTCACAATCAAGTTGGTGCAATATTTATTCTTGTAACAATATGACTAAACTACGTACCTTGAATTCTGTTTCCATATCTATTAGCGCTCCATTTTCATTATTAAACACTAGCCTTCTTTGTTTGGAGTCTAACATTAAAGGTGGAATCACAGCATATGAACGCATTTTTTTATCTTCCATCGCCTAAAATATGAAAGGTATTAGGGAAGCATTCTAATGGACCCTGCAAGTAGAACTTACCTGTTCCTGAAGACCATCCATGATTTCTTCAAGATCGGCTTCGGATTTAATCCTAGAACCTACACGATTAAATCGCTCTTTATCTTCCCTCTGCTTTCGAAGCTCGGGAAAAACCTTCTCGAAAAACTCCCGGTTTTTCGCTTCCTTCGCTTTCCGCTTTGCACTAGCTTCCATCTTATCTACACGTTTTGACCAGTCTTGTGATAACTGCGCATATCGTTCAGTCAGTTCGATCTGTTTCGCCGCCCGTTCGGATTTTATCTTTTTGAAATGCTGTAACAGTCGCTGTCGGAACATCTTGTGGCGTTCCTGGATTTCGCGGCAAATCTCCGCATCGGACGGCTGATTGTATAGCGGCAGATCGGTGGCAGTGCCAAGTGCACTCAGTACAGCATGAGCGTTCGCCGCTCGTTTTCGATTTTCGGCGTAGATTTGCTGCGCTAAACTGCGGTGCTTGGGTTGCGCTTCAGCGGCACTCTCCTCGACTGCCGGTTTCGCTGAAGCCTCTTCAAGCGTTTCCTGTTTTTTCTTCAGCATAGCGATTTTCTTCTCCGCCTTATCGATCTCCATGTCCACTTTGGCAATCTGTTGTAACAGATCATCCTTGGTAGCACGCAGTTCCTCAGTCGGATCACTTGGCAGCGTTGGTGAGATCGCCTCCACCTGAGGATGATACGCACCGGATGACACCGGTGGATCACGTGTATCAACATTCAGGAGGGATTGCGCAGGTTGACTGTTTTCGTTCAGGCGAATCTTTTTAAATGCAGGTGGACCGGAATCCGACGTTGCCGGCGGTGGTTGCTGCACGGATCGTGTCTGCAGGTAATCAGGATTGTGGGCTAGCAGGGACATTCGGGGTCGGGTTGATTGTTGTACTGGCTCCATGGAATTTGCTATGCTAATAGGTGCGGGTATACTACTAGATACCGAAACAACCGGTACCTGTCGATGGTACTCAGGAACCTGGGGCACCTGTAAGCAATGAATGATGTTTATTTCCTAAGAAAGTATTTTGCTTCACTAATATTCTACTAACCTGTGACACACGGGTGTAAGGGTTTTCTCGATAGTATGAGTTATTTTGCACATATCTGAGCGGTGCCTCACGTGCCGGTGCTCCTGCAAATGGTGGATAGTTCGCAGCTCCCGCTCCCGGACCGGGCCTGGGCGGCGAGAGTGGACTAGCTGCCGATCTAGGGGTGGATTGCGACGGGGAAGGACCACCTTTGCTGTAGCCTTGGGACGTGTCAACAGATCTATGAATAGAAGATAAAACAGAATGTCAGATTTACTGGCACATCCAACTGTCTCGATCACAAAGTTTTCAAAATCATGTAAGTACAAATGTCATAATATTTAATTATTTTTCTTTTACAATTGCTTATTTCTATACCGATTGCGCACTGCACTCTTAAGCTCCAATCGCAATGTGGACGGGACAAAGAATGTGCCTCGCAGAAGTCGATTTAATTCCGACAAAATTCTATTCGATAGGAAGCTCATTCAGATTGCGTTAAAAGCATAAATCCGAATGCGATTTAGTCGAGGAGAACACTAGTGTAAATAGGTCATTACTATGACAGCAGAATTTTTCCTGAATCAAGAATGTGTCTGCGTAGGAAGTCTTCAAAATTTAGTAACACAAGGTCGCCATTCACCGCTCACTGCATACGTATTATCATTTTTTACGTACAATTACAATTAATATCAGTAGTATCATTGATCATCATTTGCTATAATGTGCAAGTTAAGAGAAAAAAGATAAAAATAATTATACAGTGAGCGGTGAAAGGAGAATACCTGAGCGGTGGATGGCGACCTTACGGTATATGTTTTATTTATTAATTGTGTTCATCATCTTCGACTACGTCGTACAGACTGATTACTTAAAACTAATTGACTCTAAATCTCATATTCCAGCACTAGACACATTTTTGGTCAAAATTAAATTAAAACAAATTCGTTCAGTGGCATCACATTAACCTCAATCTACATGTACACAAACTCTCAAAACATAAACAATTATCAAAATATTGCTTAAAATTGATGGATATCGAATTTTTGTGTATTTTTAACCGATTCGAGTAATGAGGCATTAAATCTGGTTTTAAAAGTAATGGCACAGGTAAAAAGTGAAGTTACACCACGCCACTTTATTCGTTACAAACATCGTTAAAGGAACGCAAACAAGAATTATAACAATGATTGAATCCAAAATTCGTTCTGTGAAATAGCCAAAATGTTGTCTCTGTATGTCGAAAAAAAAACATCAATAGAAGAAACCTGAGCAGGAGAAACACAGTATTGAAAGATCTTTTAATCATCCTGGAGTTTAGATCTTCTACAAGCCAAATAACATTTTGTAGGTCACAAAGGTGTATTACCAAGATGAGGTCGAGTTACGAACGCCTTTGGATACGGTTGTGTCTAAAGTTTGCTCTCTGTTTTGTGCGTGCATTCTCTTTCATAGTTTTTGGCTGCATTTGCCGGATTAGCGCTGGCATTCTGCCTCCCGGACGGTTATTCGTGTGTGAGTGGTGGTTTTCTCGCTTTCCGAGAAGTTTTAGAATCAAGAAAGAAAACATAATTCATCATGTTTGCAAAATTGCAAGCATCAGAAGATTTGGCGCTGCGTGGTTTGATTGTTTCTCCCGGACCAAAAATTTGTGGCATCGCGAGTGAAAATTTTAATTTCTGTTTATTTACGCGGCCGATGTACACCCTGGATTGAAAATTGTGTTAAAAATAACATTTTTGATTCTCCAAATCATCACGGAAGTCTGATCTTGAAGTTATACCGACTTAGCATGGTATTCTACGATGACTCGACTAAATTTTCAGAAAAAATGACATTTAAATCCATATGTTCCATTATGTTTGAATAAAGTGTTACACATACAGTGATTAGAGTTAGATTTTGATAAATTCTTTAGTGGGAATGACATTGATTAAGACTGCACATTGTAGTCGAAATACGTATCTGTCATAAATACCAAAATTAATTAAGTGGAATTAAATGGAAGATACTGTTTTCCGCATTCCGCTAACAACCCAATTTCATTACTTCATTACATTTTCGGAAGCTATTTGTGGGAAAATAACAATTTTCGTGATGCAAGATTTGGATAAAAAATTTATTCAAATGTGAGATTTTGAAAAACAATTTCAAGATAACAGATTTAAAAAAAAAATATCATACTTATGGGTCGTGGAGTTATAATTGTCAAGGTTCTGAGACTTGGAAGCATTTTAAGGGTTAGAACAAGTTATAGAACAATCTATAGAACCTTACCGACAAACGCTGGAATTTTTAGTAAAAATTAAAAGTATTCAAAGTGTTGATTTCAAACAAATATTGAGGAGGATTCTCACATAGTTTTCGAAGGGAGAAGTTCTGAGCAGAATTCCAGAATTATTGACATGAAGTCCTTAGACATTGTTAGATGAATTTGGAAGGATTTCTGTGCAGAAGAATGCAAGTTCTAAATTAAATTCTTAGATAATTAAAAAAAAAAATTCAATAGGAGTTATGAAAAAAATATTCCTTAAGGGAAATTCCTACGTGATTTTGAGAAGATTTGAATGGAGATCGTGAGGAAAATGACAGATGAATTTTAAAAAGAATTCCAAGAGAATTCAATATGTTTAAGGCACTATAAGGGGTCTCATAGCCTAGTCAATAAAGGCACGGTATTACCAAGCCGGAGGCGGCGGGTTCGATTCCCGTTCCGGTCGAGGGAATCTTTCGGGTTGGAAATTTTCTCGACTTCCCTGGGCATAGTGTATCATTGTGCTTGCCACACAATATACAAAATCATGCATTGGTAATTGGCATCGAAAGCTCTCAATTAATAACTGAGGAAGTGCATTTAGAACACTAAGTTGAGAGCACGCAATAAGCTAATATGCACTAAGCAATAAGCTTGAAATGCGAATAAGAAGAAGAAGAAGGCAATTCTGAGAAGGATTCCAATTAAATTCTTAGAAGGAAATTCCAAAATTCAAGAATTCATCGGTATTTATTACGCGGAGTGTTTTCCGTTTTCAGAATTCCGAGTTAATTCTAGAATTCATATCATGAGCATTGTGATTAACGGAAAATTATAGCCCCGGAAAAGAATAGTTCAGTTTCGGTTTTTACAAATATTCGTTTAAAATTCCAGCATCTTCAATATTTTCTTTTAATGCCCATGCACTTTACATTTGAAATTGAAACGACGAAAATCTATTTGAAATGTTACTGAGTGATTTAATTCTAAAAACAATAAGACGGGAAACTGAAGAAAATGATGCAGCAAATAGAGTAATAGACATTCATTTGGTAAACAATGGGTTTTTTTCTGAAATCCTGGAGTAAAAATTTGTTCCTATGGCATGGTTAATTTATTTTTGCCGGTTCTCTCTTCGAATTCCCGGGTTTTTCCCGGTTTTCACGGTTACGTTTACGATATTTTCCGGTTCGCTGGCCACCCTGAACTCGATATCGAGCTAGTGGACATCGAATTGTGGAGAGTTGACTGTAGTTTTGTTCAGAATACAACGCTGCTTCTTGATTCCAAATTCGTCCTACGAGTTTCAATTTCGTACAAACATATTGAAACGTCATTGGATATACTTGGTCATTATTAACACACTTAGTTTTGTTTGCCGAATCTTGATAATCTAGGCACCAACGCAATAAATGTTACTAATAGTACGTTCAGACTACAGAGTTAACATGTTATAGCGCTATCTTGATGGTGGTTTCTGTGTTGCAATTATTTGACAACCGTTTTAACACGTTATAACTCTCCAGTCTGTACAGCGTTTAAGATTTCAGCAAGAAATGACGTTTGCTTGCTGTGATTCAGCAAAACACTTTCTGAGACTAAGCAACCAAACGTCACTGGAGAGCTCAGTAAAATTTATTGCCGATTTACTAGGGGGTACCGAAATTACCAAGATTCGACAATCGAAATGAAGTGTTTAATGCAAAATTCACTTTTAGCTTATACAGTAATGACCCGATTTTATCAGCCTCTCCAAGCAACCGACTTTAATCTTTTAATAATTTAACGTAACGGTAATTTCAAATATTTCTCATTTATCTTCAAGAGGGATGTTTAAGGTGTAATTAGGTGGCAATAAGACCACTGAAAAAATCGTGGGCTTCGTAGAATATTAGGAAAGATTAATCCCCTGACGATAATAGGTAAAGAAGTGCCGAATTCGTTCATTCCCCTATATTTAATTCGAGTGCTTATCCTACCCATATATAATAAATTTTCGTATTATGATTCGAGCGATAGCAATACTTAAATCGTATAAGAATTGTTGTTTTTTTCAATTTGCTGTATATCCAACTTATCGTTTCTCTCTCTTAGTGGAGAGTAGGGTTGTTAATGACGTGAGCGTCTTCAATGCAAATTTCCATTGATGACGTTGCCACGAAAGTTAAAGGTACTTGAGAATCTATTCAATTACAATACTCCAAGTTAGAATTAGAAATCCTCTGAATATTTCTAGTCAGAATGTTCATTTGGCTCAAAAATTCTATCCGCTCATTTTCTTTCTCTGAGGACCTGTAAAATCAGACATAAATTATTAAAGCCTACAATTCTGCGCAAAGAATAAACTTAACGTGTTCCCCTATCCATAACAAACGAACTCAGCAGAGCACGAATAAAAGAAGCGGAAGAAATGTTATAGCGATGAGTCACACGTTCGTACAAATGTTTTACGTTGAAAAGTGACATTGATTTTTTGTGTGTATGTGAACACCAAACGCCATCAGCCGAAAGCGAAGCAACAGGGAAAAGACCTGCCGTCGAAATGAAGCACAACAGTAATTGAATTAAAATAGTTACGGGGTATTATTTACAAACAACGGGCAAGCATACGAATGCCCCCGAATGTGCGGAAGTTAAGGACGGGGTCACGATGGAGGACGTCAGCGCAGTTCAGTGCACATATTTTCAATAAATTTACGTCACTCTTCGTAGCCGATAAGGAGAAAATGTTTACACCTACCCAAAGCCAGAGACCCGTATAAAGTTGAAAGTCGTCGCGGAGCCATGTCATGAAACTGTGTTTTCCGCTAGCGCGCAAGCGAGTATGCTCCGCTATTGGCTTCGTCTAATTATCGCCCCAAAGCCCACGACCGTATAGAAGGTGTTTTATAATGAGCGCCTAGGGTGGTTGTAAAATAGTTGTACCCGCTGTATCCAGTTTTGATTTAAGTTTATCCACTTCCGCCGGGATTTTTTGAAATTTCGCA